TATTTTAACCTAAAACAGGGGTAAGTGCAGCAAGTGTTGCACTTGTTAAATAATGGAATTAAGGGAATCCCTCTAAGTGTGGGACTACTAGAAAACAGAGGTCGTGGAGAGATTCAGTGAATAGGAAGACTAGAAATATTTCTTGATTTTTATTAGGTCTTGTTGCAAGGAAAACCTACTGAAATTATGTAGTTTAAATTAAAACAGTATCAAAGCAGGTTATTGATCTACTAATGAAATATAATTAGCCAGTAAACAGTGAAGAGTGTCCAACAGAGAAGCAACTCTGCTGAATCCAGGCTTAGGCTGAGATGCTGGAGGCAGCTTGTTCTAGTGTCAATCCAAGTTTTGACTGCTGCTGACTCTGGTAAAAGGTCTCTATTCCCCATTGCAAATGTTCACACTTTGATGCTTCTTTTCAGGTTGACTCCTCCTGTTTCTAAAAAATATCTGTAATTCTCTTCTCTTTAATCTGATCTGTTTGGAGGGAAATGTTATTCCAGATAGTTTTGAGCATTTGAGCCACTTGCATTGGATATTCTCCATGTTTTAAGAGGTGTTGATGTCCAGGCCATTTGCCAAAGGTCAGCTCTGCATTCACTCATCACAAAGTTTCTAGCTAGTAGATAATTATGATGTCTTTTAATTAAATATTTTTATGTATGCTCCTTTCAGAGTTCCTTTGGACTTGATGACATGTAGTGTTCAGAAAATCTTAAGGTCTTGCCAATCTTGTCAAACTAAAAGCTGGGAATCAAACTTTCATGGTATATTTTAAACAATTGCTCATAGATAATTATTTTATTACTTACATCGTTGCACGCGTTTATACTAAACCAAGTGGAAATTGGAATTTCCATCTCCTAGGAAATATCTGCAGTTCTTTGAAAAAAAACAAAAACCCAGTTGAGAGCAAAAGGTTGGAAATATGCTCTCCCTTTCTTTATCCTCTTTTAGGAACCTTAGAGAGAATGATTGCTTTTTGGGAAAGGGTGAAGAGAAGAGGTGAAGTTTATTTATTTTCTCTTATCAGGTCCCATTTTGGCAGCACATTGCTTTAGGGCTTGAGGGCCTAAGATATGAGGTACTGAACAGTACTTGCCCTCTGGAAAGATCTTGGGAGTCTGTGCTGTGTAAGAATATGGCTAAGTTACAAGAGCACATTTGATAAGCTGCTAAAATGCAGGGGCGCTGCAGTGATTTTTTGTTTCATAAATTGAATTTCTGATGCAGGAGAAAAACACTAGTGTTCATGAGTTTTCCTATTTGACTGAGTTTGAACCATAATCCTTACCATGTTTATCTTAGTTCAGTTATAAATTGTATTTTCTTGAAGGGAGTGGAGATAGAGACAATCAAGAGTAGTGAAAACACAGTACAAAAACTGGTATTAGAAACAGGATTAGCATTTTTTATTTTTTTTTTTTGTTAAAACCACCTTCTCTGCTCAGGTTTTCCAAACCTGGAGATGCATTTTCTTTCATTGCCTCTATAATACAATGTCTATCTTTATGGGTAAGATTTTCATGGTTGAATTTATCCAGCTCTTCCTTCCAGTTATTTCCTTTTGTCAACAAGGCTGAAAAGTCCTTCTTTTTGTCACAGGCTAGTTTGTTTTTTTATCTTTGAATTAAAAATATCTCTACAGAGTAATCGTTTTCAACCTTTTCTTTTCTGTTAGCTCCTGAAATCCTTCCTTAGAGTCCTTGTTTTTCAGTGCTTGACCCTTTCTGCATGAGTGTCTTTCCTCTGAACTTCAGCTGATTGTACAGCTTTCTTGAGATAAGGATTCAAGGCTGAGCAAGAGAAATTTATCTACTCTGTTATTTACTTTAACAGTGTAAATTGTCATTTGGTTGGTTTTCTTCTTTCCTATCAAAACAGTGCTTTGGATGTTCATGTTGAATTAAGAACAATGTTTCACATGTATCAATTTAAAAATTAAATAATTTTTTCTCCCTTGAATTTGTTTTAACAGATGATCTTGAAATACTGTCACTTCCTATGGGATAGAAATGCTGTTTACTTTTTCAAGACCATTGATGGGCACCAATATCTCTCCCTATGAAAATTAAATCTCTCTTCTGATTTGTAAGAGGAAATAGGAGAATACCATTTCATCTTAATAAAAACATAGGGAAATTAAAAAAAAGTAATGAAAAAATATTCACTGAGTTGAAGAAAAAGGAGGGTGAGGATTGTGACAGAGGGTAAGAGAAATAGTGTGTTTGTGTTTTTGTTAAGAAAATAAAAAAGGATTTTACAGTAAGAAGTGGATTTTGCAATAAAACATGGACTTTACAATAAAAACTGTCTAGACTATAGTCTGGGCCACATCTGTTCCCAGAAGACAAGGTAAAGTGCTGACCACACATCTTTAGTGTGTTTTGAGAGCAAAGCAGAGCAGCAAGTGCCTTCTCTGAGCAGACACTTGTACTAAGAAATGAGATGATGACAAATAATGCCCTGTATGGATGTTTGCAAGAGCAATCCTTACATTAATACATAATGTCCTCTCACTGAATACTTCAGGTGTCATCCTCCTCTGAACTTCAGTGGTCCTGTTGCTAGAGCAGAGCGCTGAGTGCAGCATGTGGAGCAGTCTGTATCTGAAGACAAGGGTGGGGTGGTGAGAAATGCCCTGGACCTGACACGTCTCCACCTGTTTGAGAGGCCATTCAGAGGGCTTGCAGAGCACCCTGGCCCTGAGTGCAAGTGTGTGTGTAGGCTGGAAGAACCTCCTGAGTTCCATCTTGCTTAAGCATCAAGACAAATATCAGAAACAGATAAGGAGGAGAAATTCATCAGCACAAGGAAACTACAAAAAAGTAGGAAATATGACGTGTGGCTCAAGCAGGAACTGGTGGTAGAGTTCTTTGAGCTCTATTTGTGCCTTAGCTATATAGCTTTATGACATTGTGTGTCCCTTAAATGTATTAGTGCTTATGTTATATAATATATGCCCATATTTGACCTCAGGGGTTTACTTCAGAGACTCATTTGTGTTTCAATAGAATTTGGTGATTCTCAGGGGAAAAATATAGAAATGAGTCATTATTAAACTATTGCATGTCCAACGTAACTTATTTTCTTGTGACATTACTGCTAAAAGTTTTTCTGTGGTTTTTATAATGTATACTGAGGGACTCAAGCATTTTAGATTTTAGCAATTCTGAGGTGTTGTAGGTGGCTTAGGACAAAAGCAAATTGACAAATATAAGTGATGTAAGACCATTGTGATCATTGCTTTCATTACATTCTTGTTTAAGTGATTATTTGGTACAGAATTAGGAAGGAGACCATAAGGCCTTGCTATAAAAAGAAAAAAAATCTTTGCAATATATAAAGGTTTTAGGTTTCAAGTTTCTTTTTCTTTTTCTTTGTCTTTGCTATGAAAAGTTGGAAAGAAAAATGCTAAATATTCCATTTGCTTCTAGTAATTCTGTCAGCAGAATCAACAAAAAAAATACAAACCTGAAATCCAAGTTCCAGCTAATGGGGCAGGGAGAAGAGATGCACAGCTAACAGGAGAGGCTTTGAGAGTAGGCAAGGAAATGTCCAGCTACTGGAACCAGGATTAGAAGCAAGAAGATTAATGAGGAATAGGAGTGGCTGTTGAAGAAAGGCTTGTTGCAAGATCAATGGCAGCTTAAATCAGATCTTGCTACCCAGTAGGATTTAGTAATTATGCTGAATGTGATACTGCTGCAGAAAAGGGAAAGTAGCTGCTGTGTTTGCATCCAGTGGTTGCATCCAATGATTTCAAAGTAATATAACTGTACTTTAGGAATCAGTTATTGCATGTTGCCCTTTATGTTATATGTAATCCTTTTTTTCCTTCTGCTAGTAAATCTACTGTTTTTAAGGCATTTTTTTTAAAAATTGAGTTTCAAAATTCATACTTGCCTTGGAAAAAACTAGCACACAGAGACCAGAAAGCTTAATATAATTTTCGAAGTATTCTGAACCAAATGAAGGTATGTTAATAGTGATGCTTTTAAACATAAACTCAGCCTTTGCTGCTGTTAGTAGGTTATTGCAGAAGGACTTCAACAATTAAGGTCTATTATTATACACGTAAGAAAATCATGAGTGACAGACAAAGGTAAAATATTCAGTTTCTCAAAACACCAAAACTATCAATTGTGACTAGAGGCTTAATATAAATTTGAAAAGCAAAGAGAATACAAGTGAAATCACTGAACTAAAGAATATTTAAATGTGAAGTATATGGCTAAGCTAATGACATTTCCCTTTAAGCATCAGTGAAACAAGATTTAGGGTTTTTTGTTTTTTAAGCATCCCATCTTCCATCCCCTTACACTCTTCTGTGTTAACCTTCCTTCATGCATCATTTTATTTCTGTTATTGCAAAAACTCCCCCAAAATCTTCAGAGGGAGACAAGTAATTTGAATATTATTAATAATTACTAATAATTACTACTTAGTCAATTAACTAATGACTGGCTTAATTGTCCTTCACATTCATTGAAGTGGGAGAAGTAACTGGTTTATTTATCAGCACCAAAGGTAAAGGAAAGAAGAAAGTGGGTAAGAGCAGGAGCTGTGAGAGAGTGAGGAGGCTGCCCAGGTCTGGTCGTCCCTGAGCCAAGGTCTAAGGTGATGTGACCCAACTGCAATCTGTCTGGATCACTCCCATCAATTCCAGGCTGGGAGAAAAGGGCATGGTGATTGTGGTGGATACAGGAATCAACTCAGGGAAGCACAAAAAACAAGGGTCAGACAGCCAGGAACATATGACAGAAATGTCTAGGCCTGATATTCACAAGGGGTTTGATCACCCACACTCAAAATGATCTGCTCTAGGTACAGTTGATGCCTTAGGGCAGTTTCAAAGGGATGCAAAATACATTTTTGCCTGATGCTGCGATGCTCTCTATGGCATTTACAGGCTTTGCAGGGGAATCCTGGGTGTGGTGCATACTCAACATTCTACTTTCATCATTACCTCTAACAAGAGATTTATTTTTTCTTAACAGATGGAGTGCAAATCGAATTGGGATGCCAGATCCTTTTCTGCCTCCTGGCCAGTAGGGCTGAAATTCCTCCTTATGTCTGGGAAAAGTGGGAAACCTGGCTGACTGCCAGCCTGCAGATTAGGGCTGCTGAGATGCTGTCAGCAGCAGTCTTGATGGTAAATATTCATGAGTCAAATTGTGCCAATGTTCATGTTTGGTGTATTGCATATTCAATGTTATTATCCATACCACTTTGTAAAGGTCATTCTGGCATCTAAAGTCAACGGAAATGACTGATTCACTGTAAAAGATCACCATTCTCTTAGAAAGTGTGAAACCTGTGCATTTTTGAGTAGTCTATGTGGACCACTTGTAAACACTTCTGTTTCTATTATCAGGTGACAGTCCCAACATATAGAGTAGCTTTAATTTAGCAAGAACAGCTGTTAGTCCTGCCCAGCCTTTCTTGATTCTTGCTATGCCTTATTTGACTTTGAGATCATACAAAACTGCATCCAGAATCTCATAATTTCACTCTCTTGTACAATGGGCTTTTATCTGCAATGCGACGCAGCAAAGCTGTCTTTCCAGTTTTTGAACACATTTTATTAAAAAAATTTAAAAATCACTCTACTTAGCTTTAATTCATGAACTTATTATTTTGGGACAGAGCAGGGAAATCCCACATTAATTTTCAGCAACAAGAAGATATTGCTGTGGGTGAATTTCTGTCAGTGCCAAGGAAATGATTTTTTCAGCCACAAGAATTCAGTGCTGCAATGTCATAAGAGCATGTAGTTATTATTCTGAATGCTACACAGACTGTAACATAAGACAGAAAAAAGTGCTCACGAGGAACATATTGAATTATAATAAATCTGTCTCGTCTGGAGACAATGATGATCTGGCACATTTTGTCAAGTGGCAGTCACATAGGATGCTGTGCACTGCATACATATTACTGCATTAGCCATAGGCAGCGAGAGGATGGCACCAACAGGGAAAGTGCTCAGACAGATAGGTTGATCATTTGTATTCCAGAGCTCAGCAAGTGCTCAATTCACTGATCCAAACCAAACATGTTGAAGTCAAGGCCTGTTTCTCTAACATGTTTGATATACAGCTGAGCAGTAACTGAATCAAAACAGCATCTCACTATTGCTGTCTGGTGCCGTACTGGGTGGTGAAAGCAAGTGAAGCTTTTCCTGGCACTGGGGGTATGTTGTATGCAAATGGACCATCTCAGTGGTAAATCTTTAATGTGGCAGACAGAACATTAATTGCATAGCTCCCCAGGATCATGTTGCATGCCCAGTTTCCTTAAGTTAAATTATTCCAACGATTCTTCTCTTGATGGAGAATTCCAGGCGTTGCAGTCCTACTGTGTGCCATGAATTTACTCTTCTGCTGTTCAGCTTCAAGTCCTGCCTAAATCCTGGGGCAATACCATTCATATTCACAGTGTGTATCTAACTGAGACAACCTAGTGTGTTTGCTACAGTCCATATTAATATTCTGAAATACAAACTAATCAGTAATGTGATATGTCTGCATTTACATCCCTTTTTTGTAGGATACCAATTCATCTTATGAAAATGAAAAATCTGCTTATTGAACTCTTTAAACAAGAGAATGCCTGAAGCGCTCTCCCCCTACATGTTATAAAACCAGTTCTTGACATGTACACCATAAGGATCAGCACTTTGCCCTTTGAGTCAGTACTATATTGAGGCCAAACAAACATAGACAGATGTACACACAAGTACCCACATGCTTTGGTCTAGCAGCCTGCACTGAGACAATCTTCCCTTTTATTGTCTGCCCATAATTTAGGACAAGCTTAGTTTTTGCCATGAGCAGGGTACAGCAATTCAGCAGAGTCAGGGGTTAACAGCATGGCAATGAAATCCTTTACTTTCTCTGAACATTTTCACCTTTTTTAATCTACCCCCATCTTCACAGAAAGGTGAAGATCTCTCAGAAAGAGAGATCCTTTTAAAAGCTGCTCAAATTTCTATGTATATGTAGCAAACAGTCACTTTTACTATTCTAGGGAGAGTTTTAATGTAGTCCTTTGAACTGGAATGAAGATGCACTATTTTAGATGATTAGTTCCATTTGCAAAATGAAAAAGAAAGCTCAGTCCTTTTCAAAAAGAAAAGCTCAGCATCTCCTCAGATAGATTTCATTTGATAGTCTAATACCTTGGCCTTGCTCCCATGGTTCCTTATTACAGTATACTTTTATCCTTCAAGAGAATTGGTCCTCTTGAAAACACAGCAGGTGGAAAAGAAAAGCTGACAAAAAAAGGGACATTTTAAATAAAAAAATTGTACAGACAAAAACATAGTTAGAAATGGGGAAATATGAGGATTACATAGAAAAGATACAAATCTTATTTATGCAAATCTTATTTACCAAACTAAGATTAGTTTTAGGTTCCAGTGAATTGCCTCTTACATTCCTTCAACAATACATGAGATGGAGGTGCAAGACTGTCCACAGTAACAAGTAAGCAGGGAAGCCATGTTTCTGACCAAAATGTCTGGTAGAAGGGATACCCTCTGTGACCAGATTTATGTCCAGGACAGTCAACAATAGGAACAGAAGTGATGAAAAAACTTTATTTTCATGTTTTAGTCAAAAATTTACATAAATAAACCAACTAGACTACACATGAAAGGCTAAGAAAACCTAAATCAAAATGGAAAGTATTCCTTACCCCATGGCTGTGGGCTGAGCACAAAATAAAGAGAAAAATATATGTAAGTAAATGTTATTCTCAGCTTGACTTAGTTATCTAAATGTTTGGAAACACAGAAGTGCCTTTAGTATGCAATGACCTGTCTGCTAGATTTGGGCTTGCAATATTGAACACGGGCTTAGTCTATGGTTAACTTGAACTTCTACAACAGAAGTAAGGGATAAATAGTACTTTTTGTGCAAATATACCTGCTTGTAACTTGTCTGATAGCCAGATCAGAAGATTTTATTTTTTCATGACCATATAAAAGACAATGTTTTTTTCCTTGACAATAATAAGCTCCTAGTAGGAATAGGATGATACAGTATGCAAGCCTCACTTTCTTTGGAACTGTGAATCTTAGACCCATTAAAGAAAATATGTCGCTTAAATTTCCCCCTGCATTTATGTCCTGCACTACTAATTTTTTTCCAAACTTTCAGTTAACTTCCAGTGGAAATTATTCTAAAGTACATAAAGATTGTGACATTTTTTTTCCTCAAACAAACAGATTCCTAGAAAAGACATGGACCTGTTGAAGCAGCTCCAGACTTGAGCCATGGAGATTATAACAGCTGGGGGTTTTCCAGTCTGGAGAAGTGAAGGTTTCAATGAGACTTTACTGTAAAGATGGGGACTTAAAAGAAAATGGAGGCAAACAATTTAGCAGGGCCTGTTGTGAAAGAGCTAGGGGCAATGGCTTTAAGCCAAAGATTGGTGGATTTAAGTTAGATATGAGGAGCAAGTTGTTTTGGTTTTTTTTTTTTTGTAATGAGGTAATTTTTATAATGGTAGACACTGAAACAGAGATGTGTTAGATACTCCAGCCCTGGAAACAATCAAGATTAGATTGGAGTAGGCTCTGAGAAATCTCACTGGCAGGAGTTGGACTAGATGACCCTTAGAGGTCCTTTGCAATACAAACTAGTCTATGATTCTATGATTTAAGTGTTTCTATATCTCTGATTCATGTACTTGTGCTCTCAGGCAGGGGGAGATGGCCTCTGTAGTGACACAAAAAGAGATGGTTTGGAGGCACCAATATTTAGATGTCAGCCAATTCCCATGGCTGCTCATACTCCTAGGAATAAGAGGAAAGAGAGGGAAGTGTGTTAACTTCTAAAGCCATTTATTCATCCCCCAGGATTCCCTTGTGGAGGTGCTGCTCCTTGGCCCTTCTAATGCAGTCCTGTGCCTAAAGGTATTTGTTATAAAAAGCAACATAATATGTGCAACACTGGAGTAATTTTTAAGACTGCACAACATCAGCTTGAGGAGGTTTCTATATAACATATCTAATGGCTGATTATGTAAATAGAACAAAGTTCTTTTTTTTTTTGTTACATGAGTATGTAATCTCTAAATGTTTACAATCCAAACAACTTGAAAATGTTGGCTTTTTTCCACTTTTAAAGGTTATACACCCCAGTAATCTCCACAAATACCAAACTGTAATAACATGTATTTAAACTTCAAATGTCTCTGGCAAAACTTCTGGTTTTAATCATACCCTGGAAAATGTAAATGTAGTTTCAGGGGTGACAAATGGCTTATGGCAAGCAAGATTATACCTCCTTTACTCCTACAAATTTGAGCTTAGGAAAAAAAAATCATTCTATTTAAGGAGTAAAGCCCTTCATAAGTGAATAAAAGTGGTAGGAACACTTTCCCTGTTACCAGATGGCATTTTGATAGCTCTATATATGGCTCTAGATATCCCTCTCCCTGGAGACAAGAGCTATAATTTCATTACAGTGTTCTGAAAAATGACACAGAGACATTGCAGGGTCTATAAAACCTCCAAACACAGCAGTGATGCTTATGCCAGCTCTTCCCTTTCCTCACACTTTATGTAAAATATAGACATTGTTGGTTGGAAAAATTGACAATCCCCATTATTAGTATCTGATCAAGTTGCTGAAATGACATTATTTGACCCAGTCATTGATGTCTGTTATTTCTGAAACAGTATATTCTGATCCCAAATCTCTGTTTCTCTTTATAACTACAGGTACAAAAAGAGGCTGGGGAGATGGGAAGGAAACACATTAATTTTAAATAGCAGGTAAAAACCTTACCCCCACCCAGTGGTTCTTGGAGAATTCCTTTCCCCCTCTAAATTAATCTCTTTTCCTTAAAGCTGAGATTAGTGTGAATCAGAAGTGAGAACAGAAGACATTGATTACTCCACGAAACTTAATTCTTATTTTTTCACATGGATGTAGAGGGAAATGATGAATGATCAAAATGTTTGGTCTTAAAACTTACTGAACTAAAATCAAATCTGACCTGGCTTCAATATGTATTGATCTGCTTATTGAGAGTGACTGGTTCTGTCCTATTCACTAAATAATATCACTGGCTATTTGGTAGTTGAAGAAGGAAATCAGATCCTTATGAAACAAAATAAAAAGTATTTTA